CTTTTTTCTTTTTGCTTATGTGGTGCTGAGGAATCGAACCCAGGGCCTCATGCATGCAAGGCAAGTGCTCTACCACTGAGCCACCTTCCCAGCCCCAGCTTCTTACTCTTTTAATGGTAATTGCCCTCTTTTATCCTTTTGATTTTGAAGTGTGACCTCCATGAAAGCAGACATCATGACTAATTTTGTTTGATTTGTGTGTGTGTAAGTGTATGAGAGAGAGAGAGAAAGAGAGAACTGAAGTTTGAACTCAGGTATTTGAGCTCTTACTTGGCTTTGTCATTCAAAGCTGATGTTCTACCCTGTGAGCCTCACCTCCACATCTAGCTTTTTCCTGATAAGAGGTTCTAATATTTGTCTGCCTGGGCTGGCTTTGAATGGTGTTCTTCAAATCTCAGCCTCCTGAGTAGCTAGGATTACAGGTGTGGGTCAGTAGCTCCTACTGCATCATGACTAATTTTGATGATTAAGTGTTCTTATCTGTGAACATCACATCAATAGTAAGCATTCAATAAATTTTTGTTGAATTGGTGAATAAATGATGAAAGAAAGAGCATTTTACAAGCGCTTCAGTAGAAAAAAGGTCTACCATGTACTACTTGGCTTTCTTGAAGCTATCTCCTATATATAATCTGGTTCCTGTGAATATAAAAGATGCACATATGAAGAAACAAAATTTGGAAAGAGCCATTGGAGACTATGTTGATGAATTCAGTCCAACAAAATGCTCCCCATGCCAAAATGGAGGCACTGTGATCCTGCTAGACGGAGAGTGCGTGTGTTCCTGCCCACCCGCCTTCAAGGGGCTTGCCTGTGAAATCAAGAAGCATCAACTGTCTTAAGGTGAGACCTTATTCTGATGTTATAAAGAACATAAATTATCATGTTGGGTTAACTGAATATGAAGATGAGTTCTAAAATTGATTTGTAGTAAATTGGATTATCCGTTTAAGAAGTAAAGATTGAGTAAGTGGTGAAAATGGATAAAGCAGCCTTTATGTGTCATTTTAACATCTTTTACCTTTATATTTCTGAACAGAAGTATGGGAAAGCAAATCAGAACTATTATAATATAGTTATAAAAATGCTTAAAGAAAACATTTAAGAATGTAAATATCCAGCTACTCTAGAATTAAGAAATATCACTGTATAGCTTACATACTTTATGTGGAATTATATCCAATGTATAATGTACAAAGCAGTAGATATAAACATATGTACTTCGCAATTGTCTTATTTTGTTTTGATTTTTTTAGAAAAGCAGTAATAGATCCAACAGAGTACTTTGTATCACATTTCTTCTCCTAGGGAAAAAAAAAAAGCTAGTTGCTATTCTCTACTTTTTTGTTTTTTGGTCAATTGTGGGTCTTGAACTTTGGGCCTGGGTTTTGTCCCTGAGCTCTTCAAGCTCAAGGCAAGCACTCTATTACCTGAGCCACAGCACCACTTCCAGTTTTCTGGTGTTAATTGGAGATAAGACTCTCATGAACTTGTCTTGCTCAGGCTGGCTTTGAACTGTGATCCTTAGATCTCAGCCTCCTGAGTAGCTAGGATTACAGGTGTGAGTCACCAGCTCCTAGCTGTTTATTCTCTATTTTTAACTTCACTAAACATCTGGCTGAAGAAAACTATGATTCTGCCTTGCATTCTAAAGCAAATTCTCTGGCACCATGTAGTTTAGTTTATACAAAGAATGGCTTTAGCTATCTCATACCAAGAGGATCTTGATAGATAAGTGAACTTATCTATCTTATTTAGCCCTAGTCATCTCAAGATTAGTTCATGAGATTTACATTCCAGGGTCATCACAACTCCCATCCCTAAGCAAACACAATTTCTTGTAACAAAATGTCTGAAACACGTAAGTGATTCCCTCAAACAAAGGTTTGAAGCCTCAGATTTATCAATCAATCACATGTTTATTTCTTATGGTAAAATTTTTAGTATTTTTTGTAACTTCCTAGTAAACATACTTTAAAATTCTGATAAAGGGATAGAATATGGTTTACAATTTAACTTGAACTTCAAAATTATTGGCTTACAAAAATACGTACTAACTCTGTCTCTCATTTAGCTAAGGTGTCAGTCAATCCAGGGTGTGGCATTTCCAGAAGCATCTATACTCTCCCAGAATACATGTTCTTTGGTTCTCTAGCTTTTTAGATTTTCTTTTTCCTTCTCTATACATGCATGGTTTCTTAGTGATTTGTTCTGTTTGAACGTCTAATTTTTCACTTTTGAGAATCTTTTGAAATTACATTTCTACAATTTCTACTTGGTTCTTTTTCAAGCCTGTTTTTGATGGTGTTTCATACTATTGTTTTCCAAGACTACAGGGTTTTTCTGACTCTTTCACTTATTTATTTATTTATTTTTGGGGTCCGGTCATGGGGCGTGAACTCTGGGCCTGGGTGCTGTCCCTCAGCTCTTCAGCTCAAGGCTAGCGCTCTACCACTTGAGCCACAGC